CTATATGCTTACTTTTAAAAAGAGACGGATGTGAACGATTTCTGATTTACTCATTTCAGTCTCAGATTTGATTGTCGCATAAATAGACTTTCACTTTAGATTACACTGTTGAGCTAAAACACACGGTACAATAAAATAGCGAGATGAAGTTAATACTAAAGCTGGTGCTCGTTGATAATGTTATTTTTCAGTTTTTGCTTTTGCGCTTTTTTTCTTGAAAAAATCTGCATGTTCTTTCTTAATGAGTTAGAGAGAAGAAATAAGTGTGATTCGTAAATTTATTAGGATATTTTTTTCAATTATTGGTAGGAATTCACTCATTAATTATTATATTTAAAATCCTTATTTCATTAGTAATAGCTTATTGTGCATTAAATCTACTCAAGTTACATTTTCGGTACTTAATTTTCGTTATATAGCATTTATTCGTCATGTATAAAAACTCCAGTTATTCGAATTAAATAGAACGACAGCCCAGCCAAGTATTTGAAAAGTTCTATTATTTCGGTGGCTTATTTTCTGTAACAGATTCGTCAAGTACCGAGTGACCCAAAATCTGCTAACATTTGAAAATTCAATAATTCACTGAATAATGTAGGTAGAAAGTAAAACCTGACACACATACTTCAAATGTCATGGGGGTTTTATTGAAAGCAAAAAAAAGTGCTTAAAAAGGCCAACATAGTGTTTTTAGCAAACACTATGTTCCAATGAGGTCCCTAATGAGATCTGGTGATCACGGTAGACTTGCGATTTCAAGTAGCCCCACAACCAATAATCACACGGATTGAGATCTGGGTATCTGAGAGTCCAAGTATGACGTATAAAGAAAGTGGCGGTTCAGCACGCGATCCTCACCAAACCATGAGTACAAGAGATCTTTCATACGTGCAGCAATAAGGGGTGGAGCGCCATTTTGCCTAAAAGTCATACCTTATTTATCAGCCAGACTAAGGGCGATCCGATTCTGTAACCGATCAGAGTGCCTTGCACGGGTCACACTGGCAGGTTGAATAGCAGAACGACGCAATTCCTCTAAGAAAAGAGTTGGACCACTAATGACGTGATAAATCCACATCACATCCTGACCAACACCCGAACGCGAGGCCAAAAAGTGACGAAGTCATGAAGGGACTTCTCACTACAACTAAATTCATACAAAATTCTCATGCAGCGTTACTGACATTTTGCTGCCGAGCGCCCATATGTTGGCCTTTTTAGTCCAAAGGGTCAATTTGCCCAGAAGGACTATTAATTTCGTTTTGGCATTTTGCGTTGGTTTACTACAAGCGTTGTTTCACTTCTTAAATTGTTTCTACCAAATATTACAGCCCTGTATTATACTTAAAGAAATTAAATAATGAAGAATCTGCATAAATGTATGTATGTTTCTCGCATTGTGATAAAATAACGGTACCTAGAGCCATCCAGTTTTGAATAGCGTACGTTTCCACCCGAATATGCGCATCTGGAAATCTCAGAATTTGGAATTTAGGAATTTGTTTTATTATCTATTTTATATATTTGTAAATCTTTAACGAATTTTTGATTAACAAACTCAAGGATTTCAAAGCGAGCAATGGGAACGCTGTACAAGAAAAACATTTTTATCTCCAGCGCGCGATACTGTGTATCGGAAATTCTAAAGATAGGCTCATTTTAAAATTATTTTGCGATATTGCTCTTAAATTGAATTTTATGGTTTAAGTGCGAAGAACATGGTATTTAATAAATAACGATAACACACAAAGCGTTAAAAAAACGCTCCTTTGGACGTAATTTAAAATCTGAAGCTTTTCAGATTTTTTTTTTTCATTTTGTTTCTTTTTATAAAACCAACGTCATTTGAAGCATGTGTGTCAGGTTTTATCTCTTTACCTAGATTATTCATAAGAGAAATTGCCCGGATTCAGGTTAGACTTAAGAAAAACAACGAAAACTTACTATACAATCAGCCCATTCGGCCTGGATTTGCGAATTATTGAATTTTCAAAGGTTAACAGATTTTTGGGCCACCCGGTACATAAATATTTTTCTCGAAATAACTATTTAATGTAATGCGAATGAGGTAAGTTGTTTTTTTGCTTAGCGTATCGCTGGTCGAGTAGCTGAGACCGCTGAATATTGATAGTTTGATTTGGTTTCGAATCCAGACGAATGGGCTGATTGTATAGTAAGTTTTCGTTGTTTTTCCTAAGTCTAACCTCAATCCGGGCAATTTCTCTTATGAATATCTCTATGAAGGCAAACCTTCACTTAGGCAGAGAGCTCGTGTGTGCTTTGTCATATTCCAATAACTCATAACGGTTTATTTTATTTTGTTTAAGAATAATTATGCACTTGAAAGGAGTAAAACATTTTAATTTCGGATAAAAAAATGCAAAATATTTTTACTGAAAACATAACAGAGATTATTTTGTTCATTTATTTAGATTCTTACTTATTCCTGCTCTTTACTTATTCTTACTTAAAACATTAAAGAGATTATTTTGTTCATTTATTTAAATTCTTACTTATTCTTGCTCTTACTTATTCTTACTTAAAACATTTAAAAGATTATTATTTGTTGATTTTTATTATTACTGACGAGATTATGTTTTATTACAGACTTTTATGTAGCTCACTTAAGGCGCTTGTTGCTATGTGTAGATACACTATTTATGAATTACAATACAAGGTGATGAAGTGAATTTTTCAAAAATTTGATTTAGATTTTGTTTTTAATGTTTGATCTTCAAGCGGGTTTTCGCACGTATCTTTGTTTAACAAAGAAACTAAAAATATCAGAATTTTACTGTTGCATCAGACAGAACAGAAAAAAATATCTTTTAAATGAAATTTGTATGAAATTGCTTAATTCAATTTCTGATTTTTTTAGATAACATAATTTCTATTATTTTAAAATTTCAACATCTCAAAATATATCTTTTCAAAGTTATAGAATAGAATAAATTTTTCGTTCTCTTTTAAAACAAGAAAGGTAAAAAGATTCTCCTTTAAAACAAGAATGACGTAAAGATTAATTGTTCGATTTTCCATACATTTTTGAAATATATGTTGTAGAAAGCCAGGTGAGGAAGTTGTGGTTGTTTATTTGGTTTCACAATGATTCGCTTAGAGTTTAGAAGTTAAAGTCATATACGTCATCTTGTTTTTCTCACTTTTGTATTAATTTTTGTAATATTGATTTTACTTATTTATTAATTCTCCCCCTTTTTTATTTGAAAACTTACAGACTCCCTGTGCACCACATGTACAACACGGGGCTTACAGAAGTTAAGTTAAGTAAAACATTAAAAGTTACATGCATATATAAAACGAACAAAAACAGAGAACCAGCAGTCTGGACTTCACGAAAACAGATAAGTTCACTGGCCAAGTCACTCCGAACATTTTCAAATCATTCTGCAAGCATAATCTAGGGCCATCAAACGTAGGGCATGAGAAAATCAAATGTTCCACATTCAGAGGTACTTTTTTTTAACATTCACATAAATTGTTTGATCTTAAAGATTAAAACGAAAAAGGTAACTTGTAAATTTACCGTGACCAGATAAAAACTGATAAACTTTAAAATTTATAGAAAGAAAGGAATCGGAATGCAGTCTATGGTAAATAGAACGAAAGGACGTTTTGGTGACCTCAGCATTGCAACATGAAATGTATTCATCCTTCCACTTAGCTAAAAGCTTTTTATAATGAAAGGACTTCCAATAGCTCTTTGGAATGCTAATGTTGATATCAATAGGTAAATTTAAGGCATCTTTAGCTAAGAAATCAGTTCTTTCATTTCCATAGAAACCGTGATGAGCACGCACATAAGCAAAGCGGATATCAATTTCTCTATTTCTAAGCGAACTGACAGTTAATAGGGTTTCGAAAACTAATTTATTGCAGCTGGTAATACTATTTAAAAGTTGAAGAGAAGGAAGAGAATCAGAACGAATAAGGTACCTTGAGGATGTTGTCCCATTATCCTTGACGCATTTGACGACAAGTTAAATACAAGAAATAATTTAGAAAAACAGCAACCTTACTATAAAAATCTTCGGCCATTTTACCAATGCTACCTCTTACCACCCTCCTCCATAGCTAGATTTTGCATTCACTGTTTATTTCCTTTTTTTAATCTAAAAAATCTGATGTGAACAGTCACATGACTTCCTTGTACGGCCTATTAAATAATATACGTTTTTTGCTGCATTTCATTTCCTCGAATTTAATTAGAGGTATATTTATCATTCAGTTAATTTAGTTCTCACTTCACGGCAAGTCAGAATTACATAAAAACTCAAAACATCTTCATTAAAAATTGTAAAGCACGGAAAAACATAAATCACTAACTTTGTATGAGATTTAAATAAAGTGATAAATAAAAGGTGAAAATATTAATAAATTTCAATAAAGTGATAAAATAATTAAATTTAAATACATTTTTATAAAATATATAAATAATGTGATAAATAATTAAATTTAAATAAATTTTTATTAAAAATATTTAAATAATGTGATAAGTAATTAAATTTAAATAAATTTTTATAGCATATTTAAATAAAGTGATAAATAATTTAAATAAATTTAAATAAATGATAAATAATTTAAATAAATTTAAATAAAGTGATAAATTAATTTAAATAAATTTAAAAAAGTGATAAATAATTAATGACAGTGATAAATAAAAGAGTATTTTACTCCCTTTCATCGCTATGCTCATCTTTACGCCTGTACGAGAATTCGCAAGGTTTAACATTCAAGCAGATCTAGTGACCATTTTATGTTAGAGAACCATACTAGATCTCACAAGTTCATAGATACGGCGTTATTTCTAATATGTTTAAATATGTTCTAATTGTTTTATGATTTATTATATGAGGAAAAGATAAATGTAATTACGGGGATGATAAATATAGCCTTCAACCCCCCCCCCCAAAATCACCCAGAATGAACTGAATGGCTGTTTGATATGTTTTTGAAGATGAATAAGATGCACTAAATCTCTATTCAGTGTCCTGAAGAATTTTTATTCTGTCATGCAGTAAACATACATATGGTTCCAAAAATGTATTGCATTCAAATAGTACTGGAACCTAACCGCTAAAAGTTTATTGAGACCAATTTTGGCATTTATGAATGACTTAAAAAATATTAATCTTCAGTGTATATTTGGGATTAGAAACACGAGGATGAGTAACCTCCTTTTTATCGTTAAGTCTTCTTCATTCCCTCATTTTCACGGTTCGTTGTAAGATTTAATCTCTTGGAATGAAACGAAGTTTCACATCCGTTGGTTGGTGAGTGAGGCCTAGAATTGTTCCATATTCTACTTTGTCTCTTTCAGGTAGAACACTAAATTTCTGCATAATGGTAGTGAAGTAATGAAGCAATGTTATCAGAGCCACCATTTCACCAGGACAGTTTCTTTTGCCTGTTGAAGAAAACAAAATCTTACTAGTATAAAATACCTTATACAAGGAAGTGCTAAGAATGAAACCTGTAACTGTTCAATAACATATTAAAATAACAAAATGTTTAATAATATAAGACTATCATATGGCAATTGGTCCTTTCTGATTATCCACACTTCTAAATTTTAGTTTGTTATTTTTCTCAGTTTACATATCTTCTAAACTGTTTTTGACTTCACCAGAAGAAAACAGCTCTTCGCTTACCTCCCCAAGGTTAGAAGAAATACGGGTTGGTTTGGTTTATTTGATTACGGCAAAGCACTCGAGTGCTCTCTGCCTAAGGCAGACTCGAGGGTTCTCTGCCAAACCAACCTATACAGAAAATACGGGTTGGTTTGTTTTATCTGATTACGGCCAAGCACTCAAGGGCTCTCTGCCAAACCAACCCATACAGAAAATATGGGTTGGTTTGGTTTATTTGATTTTGGCAAAGCACTCCAGGGCTATCTGCCTAAGAGCAGGGATGTCTTCGTGGAGGACTTTCTAAGGGAAACTGGCTCGTATATACCTTACAGATTGGGAAAAACAACAAAAACGCGCATGCAACCAGTCCGTTCGCGGGATTCAAACCTCCAGGAAATATGGGAAAACCATGAGAGATTAGCTGCCAGCTCTTCCAGTTTTTCATGCCATCTTCCTGTAGATGACCAAATCTCGCAGTTTGTGATTTCCAGTCTTTATTGAGGAAAATGTTTCCCAGCAATACATGAAATTTATTAAATTAATGGAACTTAAATGAGATTTTTTAAATTAATGAAACTTAAACTAGACAAATTCCATTCCCCCGCCTCTAATGATTTTCAGAGTAATTCTTATTAAACTTTATTTCGTATGAATTGTACTTTTTCATCTTAGGTTTTATTGATTTTTATCTTAATTCAAATTAATTTGATTTGAGTGGACAATTGTAAATTTGTATACGAAGATTCAAGCAATGTTTAATCTGTTAATATTTGTATTTAATTTTGTTAACTTCAATATATTGTTCCGTTTTTTTCCTTTCTTCACGTTCGTACAGGGTTCGTATGGATTTGAAGTGAATAACGACGACGCTTGATGAAGTATCGAAACACACTTTAAGCCAATATTAATCAGCACAGCCTCAATAACACTTTTTACAGTCGTAGAAGATCTATTCTAAACACGTTGGAACAAACAGTGACACAGCCTTCACACTGTCAGGCAATAACGGTGGAGACAGCTTCACTGCAAAGCTCCCGACTCTGCTCGGTCGTTCTTGGAACTTCACGTACTCTCCAGACTCTACAACTCGCCATGCACTCGACGACACACGAGCACAGCTCAAAACTCTTCGGTTCAGTCGTTCCCGGAGCTCAACAGGCTCTCTCGACCATGCACTAACCGCGGGAGTAGGGAAAACTGTTACCTGCTACAAGACAGTATACTGACCAAGTATCAAAGTATCAGACGTTTGAGAAAAATATGTACCCACCTGTAGCACGCCATGGAAGATATGAAATCTTAAAGACTCTCTGCAGAGAATTTGTAAGCTAAGAACTTAAACTGTATGCCAACGTTGAATACAGCACAAGTAAAAAAGTGTATATAGTATACAAATGGCGAAAATCATGTCATTTCCAGAATTCCTACTGAAGTGTAGAGTGTGTATGTTTTTACATACAACATTTTATTTAATTTACATACAACTTTTACATGGAAAGAAGACTCCATATGAATACCTGAAAAAAGGTATGTAACGTTCTTAAACTAAAGTCTTTGGTAACAAGGAAAAATCTTCTGAATCAAAGATCAATTGCGTTTTCGTATTTTTCCCAATGTGTAAGATAGAGACGAGACAGTTTCCCATAGAAAGTCCTCTAGAGGGCATCTCTCTCTTTCCGTGTAGTGCCTAATGGCGGTGCACATAATAAATTAAAAATTCTCATACAGCAGCCCATTCGCCAGGATTCGAACCCATATCTTCAGTAGTCTAATTCGCTCGGTTTATGGTGGAGCAATAAAATAGGAAGAAATAGAGAGCCACTCAGACTGTATAGTGGTTAGGGGAGCTTGACTGCGATACCAAAGGGCCCAAGTTCCAATCCCGAAAATGGCATGCATGTAAAATTGTCTATCCCTTCATAGGAGGTAACGGTGGCCGCCTATTAGATGCCTCCACAATAAACTGGCCGCCACTTCTGGAGTTAGGAGTGGCCAATGCCGCTATAGGGAAGTGCCCGCCATTGGAAAAAAGTAAAAGAAATAGAGAAAGCATAAGAATGAAATCTACCAGCTGAAGATATATTTTTGTTTAATTTTTAAAATAAAGTCTATTAGTATAATCGCAGTAAAATATCTTGTTATTTTTTGAAAGATGGGACATACCGTATGAAAATGGATTGTAGCTGTCCGGCTTATAGTTGACTTGCGTTCCGTCATCCAACAAGAAACGCTCTGGAATGAATTTCTCCGGTTCGGACCAGTATTTAGGATTGTTGTGGAGAAACCAGTCATTAGCTATGATGTAAGAGCCTTTTGGTATGTCATAGCCGTGTATTTTTATGTCTTCGCTTACCCTGTGAAGAATATGATGCATTTATTAGCATTTACTTTTGTTATTCTTTAAACAAGTACTTCATCGAGCTTTGCTGTTTAAAATCAAATTAAAACTAATCACATGCAAAGAAAATAAACAAAAACATATGATACGCAAAATCAAATTAAATATTATAAAATTATGCATTTAATACTGAAAATTATCTTATTAATAAATATCAAATTATTTTATTTTATTACTAGCGGAAGTACCCGATTGCAGTTAAGTTAGATTGAGAGTAATGCTTCTAACAACAGAGAGAACGATACCGCTGCAATCGTTCTCTAATAACGATGCAAAAAATACAGTTCATAGTCATACATTTTTCAGTCTGATGCGATATAAAATAATAATAAAAATTTCAATAGAAAAATAAACTAATTCTCTCCCATTATATCAGCTTACAATGGCACGCAGTTTTAAATGATTTTCGTGTTTGTAATCGAATGGTCTTAAAAGCTCAAGTTCCATCCAATATTTCACTTCGATTCAATGATTTCATTCAATTTTAGTCGATTCAATGTGGCAAAAAATTGATCATAATTAATCAGAAATCAATAACGCGAACAAACATACAGGAAATTCTTCCTTATATATGGATTTTGTGAAACTTACAAATTTTGATTAACAAACTCTACTGTATTTGAAAGCGAGTAGTAGCAACACTTTTCGAAATAAAGCATTTTTATCTCCAACGCGTGAGACTGTTGCCACTCGGAAAAATGAGTGCGAAAATGAGCGCTTTCAGAGTTTTTTATTATGATTTCGGCTGATTAAAGTTACGAAGGTGGGAATAGTCGAAATGGTTTCCCACGAATTTTTGAAATCGGGAATAAGGTATATAATGTTTAGCAAATGCTATTTTTATTTCATCGTAAGACATAGAAATTTTTTATTAATAAACTCTACGATTTGAAAGCGAGCAATGGCAACAACCTTCGAAATGAAGCAGATTTTCATCTCCAGCTTGCGAGACTGTTGCCACTCGGAAAAACGAGGGCGAAAATTATCGTTTTTCCGAGTTTTTAATTAGTATCTCTCACTTTAGCTATTTTGTTTTGAAAAAAAAACGGACGTCGAATTTTTCCAGGACCTAGAAAAGAATTGTAGAAAGTTTGGTGACGATAGCTGTAGTAACTGGTAAATATTAACAAGTTATCCTTAAAATGTCCTTTACAAAATCATCACTCATCTCTGGTAGATACCATTCATAGCTTTGCCATATTCATATGCAATCTAACCTAACTCTACACTCATAGACTGTTGCTGATACATATACAGGATGGTTATAATTAAAGTTCCACTTTGAAATGGCCATAAAAGAGAAACTACTGGACCAAATGTTATCAAACTTGGTAATCATGTAAAGGAGGTCATGAAAATTTATTTTCCGCGAGAAAAATATTAAAATTTAACTATCAGGGGAGAAATGGCGCTGTATGCAATATTGTTAAACAAAATAAGGGTTGGAATCCAACTTAAACTTTTGTTACACGGGTTTAACGTGTTATCATTATCATTATAACGGCACAGCCCCGATCCTTCTACCGGCACAAGCCGGCCGTATGATAAAAAAAAGGGGGGACTAGCCCCCCCCAAAAAAGTCCAAAATCTTAGTCTTAGTGCCGAATTCCAATTCTATCTTTGTTCGTATTTATAACTTTCATTATTATCTTTGCAATAATCTTTCAAATTTGAAGTTCCTTTTAAAATTTTCCTTAAAATTCTTTCTATATTTCTCTCTTGCACTTCGGGTAAGCGTATATCATTCACGAAGTGCCTGACATCCCCATACCTGTCACATATTAAGCATTTATCATTATTCTGTAGATGGAACCGATTAAAATAAGCTGGGAAACGACCATGATTAGTCAGTACCTGATTTACATCAACATTATTTATAATATTCATCTTTTTGTTTAACCTTTATATTTTTCGTTAACTTTTCCCCTTATTAGATGACTTCCAGCAAAAATTCCATTCTGTATAAATCCAGTTTTCCATTTCCGCAATGGTCTTTTATTTTTGAATCTTGGATATCAAAATTATTGGTCCCATCCCAAAGTGCCGCCATTTTAGCAAGGGTTTAACATGTTGTATACCCTTAAGAAACATTGACCTAAACAAAATTGTTTAAAGGCGTTAAAGGTGATAAAAGTCGAGTGCATCATCCGTGTAACGGAGAAATGCGTCCATGAAAAACCACAAATTAGCGATTAGAAAATGTGAGATCGTAAAAGTGTGTGCATTCCGGAAATCGTTTTCTTACAGATCGCTAATTTATGATTTTTTAAGCCTGAATTCAGCCCTAAGACAAAAGATATCGGTTTGAAGCGTTTTTAATTGTTTCTAAAACGAAATTGTTTTTGGGCTATGCAAAACTTCAGTGGCTTGACTTACGGCAGGAAGAAGCAAATGATTTATGCAAATAATCTAAGCAATCTGCCGTAATTGAAAGATGTGCTACACCTTTCTAATTTCTCAGTAACATTTCTCCTGATATGCTAAGAGCTGCTGTTGAGAATGTAGTAATACGATTTGACTTGCATTCGGAAAATGGTAGACGCCATATTGAATATGCTTTGTAATACGTTTCCGAAACGATTAAACATAAACCGACGTCTTCATGTCTTATTGCGTTTAACAATACTGCATACAGCGCCATTTCCTTCCTGGCGGTGAGTTTTTGAACTTTGTTTTTCGCGGAAAATAATTTTCCATAACCTCCTTTACACGATTACCAAGTTTGATAACATTTGGTCTAGTAATTTTCCTTTTATGACCATTTCCACGTGGAACTTTAATTATAATCAACCTTTATTTCCATCATATATCTTAGGCCATACACAGTTTCACTGGGTTAGAACTGTTGTGATTCAGTAGCAAAGTTCTACATAGCGGAAAATAATCGATTACTTCTACTTGATGTTTCTTCAAATCGAATTATATGTTATAATTTTCATTGCATAAAAAAAATTCAATAAAATGTAATACAAGACAAACAAACATGGTCCTGAGAACTTTTGATGGTAAAAAGTTGCCATAGAATTTGAAATGGAAATAAAGAAAAGAAGCTATTCTCACCTGCTCTTAGACTCCTTTCTCGAAACTGTCAGGAAATATCTGAAATAGTTTCTTGGTTTACGAATGTTCGTACAGTTAGGCGCTGTTTAATATGATAGCAGTTAATGTTATTATTTGGATATTGTTACTGAAGTGCCGATGTCCACCTATTTTGTATATGAAAATGTGGAGAATACATGGCTTGTTGTGACCAACAAGTAGGATAATGCTATAAAAACATTGTAGAATGAATATTTCAAATTGAAATATATAGAATTGAATAACTGAAATACATAGTATTGAAATGTTACAGAACGAATATTTTAAATTGAAGTCACCAAATGAAAATGAAATTGCCAAATAATATTGTAAAAAAACAGAGAAATAGCCAAATTAGAGAAACATGTCACCAAGTAAGAGACTGTGTAGCTAAGCAGCTTGAGTATGATTTAAGATCCAACTAAGAAGGAGCCAGAACGATTGGACTAGACTGTGTAAGATTCCTATTTTTTAAGTTACAGCTAAAGTTCAGGAACCTTAAGAACTCATAGGCGAATAATCGCTTTAGTTCGGTAGACAGAGAACAGATACTCAAGGAAGGTTAAATACCATTTATTATTCCAAATAAAGTTCACAGAAGACTCTTGGAGTTTACAATAAAGCTTCCGCTCGGGCTTGAACTCAGGAAACTAAGAAATAAAACTTAACTAATCTTGATTAAAAAGATCATGATAGCCGAAGCTATCAATATTCTAGCAGAGTTGGACCCTTAGGCTAAGTAACAGCGAAGCTATCAAGAGCCTAAAGTACGGCTGAAGTAAAAATAGCTTTAGATAGAGTATAGCCGAAAGGCTAACGCGCGCTGCATAGAATCTCTGGCTCATTAAAGAAGTCAGTAGAACTTCACAGTTAAATACTGTTGGTTGTGCATTAGCACTGAAGGCGTAATGAGTACGTTTCCTCAATCACTGAATTAAAGATCATAAATCAAAAATTTTAACTACGAAATCTTTATTTAATAAAATAGGATAATTCTGCTTAACTTAAGCATAATAAAAAGTAATAATGTTCAAGGACATTAAAATTGAAGTATTCAAAAGAATAACTTACAGAGAATCATCATCAGTCCTAAATATCAGGCTTACCTATATTATGCAATAAGAAAAAATAAACAGGAACATACTTTGCCATCGTACCTGAAAGAGAAGAAAGTACTACTGGATTAGACCTTTGGCCAGGTACAAGTAGCTAGGGTGAAAATCAAATATACTGCATTGCACACGAGCTTTACTTTCTCTCGCCAATATATACCTTGGCGCACGTTCGTTTCGTATGCCTTTCGAGTTTCATTATGCAAAATACCTAAATTTATGCTAACATTGCCCCTGTTTTGCTAATGAAACTCATACCAATTGTAATTCATTCCTGCAAAACTGAAATTTAGCTTTAGGAATTGGTTTAGTCATAATATCAGCAACCATTTCCTCTGTTGAAAGATAAGCAAGTTTTACTATTCCTTTGTTATTCAAGTCGCGTATATGATGAACTTTTGTATCAATATGTTTTGTGCGTGAACTGAATTTTTCAGATTCTACAAGTCTTATAGTAGACTGATTATCTTCAAATACCTTTATCGGTAGAGTTTGGGGTAGATTGAAATCTTCTGTTAATTTTAATAGCCATAATAGTTCTTGCGTAGCTTGCGATAGTGCAACATATTCAGCTTCTGCTGAGGATAAAGAAACACAAGTTTGTTTTCTTGAAAACCATGAAATACAGTTCCTTCCTAATAAAATAACACTTCCTGATGTAGATTTTCTATCTTCAATATCTTGTCCCCAATCAGCATCTGAATAAACTGTAATATTAGGTTCTTCACTCGACGAACGAAATTTGTAAGGATAGGTTCTTTGTCGTGTTTAAGTATCTAATGATTCTTTTAACAGCATTCCAGTCCTTTTGACGTGGATTATTACACCTTCTGCTGAGTATGTGAGTTGAAGCTGTGATATCTGGTCTTGTGATAGACGATATATACAAAAGACTTCCAATAGCTTGGCGAAATTTATCATTTGAAGTTAGGAGATTTTCTTCCTTGTTTAGGTTATAATAGTTCGTTTCCATTGGTGTGCTAGCGGGTTTCGCTTCTTCAAGTTGAAATTGCTTGACAAGTTGATTTATTTTATTTTTCTGTGATAAGAGATAACTTCCATCTTCCTTGCGATTTATTTCCATGCCTAAGAAATATTTAGCTTCACCAAGATGCGTTATTTGGTAACGTTTCTTTAAATCATTAATTGTTTGAAGAATTAGTCCTTCTTCTGTAGAACTTATTAGGATGTCATCAACATACACTATTAAATTAATTCTTTTATCACGAACCACTTTTGTGAAAAGACACGGATCTGCTTTGCTTTGACTGAACCCAGATTCTTCAGTGTATTTTCAATTTCTGCATTCCAGCACCTAGCTGCTTGTTTGAGACCATAAATCGACTTCTGTAATTTACAAACTTTATGTCTTTCTTCCGGAACCACGAATCCTTCTGGTTGTTCCATATATATTTCTTCATTTAAGTTGCCATACAAAAAAGCTGTTTTAACATCTAGTTGATGTACCTTGGCATTATTATACGCTGCCCATGCTAAGAAAACTCTTATCGTAGTGTGTTTCACTACTGGTGAAATGTTTCATCATAATCACTGCCGTATTTTTGAGTAAATCCTTTGGCTACTAAGCGTGCTTTGTATTTTATATTTTTACCAGTTTCATCATATTTTGTCTTAAACACCCATTTGCTGCCTACTGCATGTTTTCCTGGTGGTAATTCTGTAAGTTTATAGGTTTCATTTTCTTTTAGAGAATGTATTTCTTCTTGCATAGCCTTGATCCAAGGTTCTTGTTCACATTTTGGTAAGTTTAGAATTTCTTCAAAGCTTTCTGGATCTTTAATTTAAGGTAAGATTGATTCTTCGTCTTCTGCTTTATAAGAGAATCTTTCCGGTGGGACCCCTTTGGTTGATCTGCTAGAAACCCTTCTTTCTACATTTTCTTCACATTTAATTAACTCTTCGGAACTTTTTGAATCTTCTGTAAAATCATCGCCAAGAGATGTTTCTTCATTATTTTTCTTCATCTTCTGGCGAGTTATTGAAGTGAATTAATTCTAAATCTTCAGCATTATTTTCTGCATGTTTGTCAGATAAAGACGCGTTTTCTGAAAATTTAACAGTTCTACTTACTATTATTTTTCTTCCACCTTCATAAATCCTGTATCCCTTACTTCGTAAATCGTATCCTACGAATATTCCTTCTTCGGCTCTGTTGTCGAATTTACGCCGTTTTTGTTTGTTCACGTAATAAAATGCTTTACAGCCAAATACTCGTAAGTGACTTAAGTTTGGTTTTCTACCATTCCACAATTCATATGGTGTTCTATCTGTGGCTTTAGTTGGTAACCTATTTTGAAGATATGCAGCAGTAGCTGCTGCTTCAGCCCAGAATCCTTTCGGTAATTTAGAGTTTATTAGCATAGCTTTTGTCATTTCTATTAAAGAGCGATTTTTCCTTTCTGCGACGCCGTTCTGTGCCGGACAATAAGGAACCGAAGTTTGGTGAAAAATGCCGAGTTTCTTTAAATAATTTTCAGTACTTTCGTTACAGTATTCTGTACCGTTGTCGGATCTGAGAACCTTTATTTTCTTTCTAAATTTATTTGTTGTCGATGCAACATACTGTTTAAGTTTGTCGAATACTTCATCTTTTGAAGTAATAAAATAAATTTGAGTATAACGCGAATAGTCATCAATGAAAGTTACGAAATATCTTTTCCCTCCTAAGCTGTTGACTTCAATTGGCCCACACACATCTGTGTGCACTAAATCCAGTGGATTTTTAGATCTAAAACTAGTTTTGGGATAAGGTGTTTTCAGTTAGTTTCGCTTTTACACAAGTAGAACATTCCACACTATGAGTGCATTTGCCAAGTTTAATGCCGTCTGCCAAATCATTTTTCTCAAGTGTTTTTATGGCATCTATATTTCTGTGGCCTAATCTTTGATGCCATTTTAGTATACAGTTCGTATTTGAACATGAAACATTATTAGCTAAGTATGCTTTCTCATCAATTGGGTTTACGGTCAATTTATATAAAACCTTGCTGAGCGTTGCCGTCGGCTACGAGTATATTGTTACGCTTTATGTAACACTTATTACTATCAAATGTAACAATGCAACCTTTATTGGTAACAGATTGAACAGAAAGTAAATTACTATCTAAACCTGGTACATACAATACATTTTCCAATTTTATTTGTGTAACCTGACCCTTTAAGTTTGAACTTTGAACTTTAAAATAGCCTTCACCAATACCATAAGAATTTAATTTAGCACCATTGGCTACAGTTACTATTTGTTTATTAGAGTCATTTAACTGAGAGAAAAAATTCTTATCACTCGTCATATGAGTTGAGGCTCCTGAGTCGATAACCCATTCTTGCGTTTGCGTGTTTTCATGTTTATTTTCCACTTTTAGAACTTGATTAAACTGAATGTGCGAATTTTCAGTTTCAATACTTTTAAGATTGTTATGTTTTCTACACTTTGCATATTTGCTATTTGGCATGCATTACTTTTATAATTTTGAGAATAATTTCTTACTTTACTATTATTTACATCTGTTTTCGGGGAAGTTCTAGCGTTGCGTTTTAAATGAAAACAGTCATTTATCGTATGGTTATTTCTCTTACAATAAGTACAAATTGTGTAACATACTTTGGTTTATTTTCGCTTTTACTTTTTAAAGCAACTGAATCGTATTTTTGAACTTTCTTAGTTTCCACACGTCTACAATACTCATCTATTAGTTTGTTTTTAACATATTCTAGCGACAATTCAGCTTCCGATTTACTTTCTATTGCAGTTATTAAGGAGTTGTATGAATTTGGTAAAGAACATAGTAATATTGCTATTAAGTTATTTTCTTTAATTTCTTCACCTATACTACGCAGCTTTTCAGCCAATTCTAGTACTCCTTTGATATGTTCCTGCATTTTAGAACTTTCATTATATCTAATGGAATATAGTTTTCTAAGAAGAAATAACTTGTTTGTTAAATTTACACGTTCATGGACACATTTTAACTTCTGCCAAACTTCTTTTGCAGATTTACTATGCAAAACATGGATAATTTGCGAATCCGAAATGTTTAGGCATATTAAAGCTTTAGCTTTACGATCATTCTTTAACCAAATATCAGTAACAGTTTCCGGTTTTTCTTCGAATACAACATCATCTAAACCTTCTTTTATTAGAAGTTGTTCTATTTTAAATTTCCACACTGAATAATTTTCATCTGTTAATTTTTCTATACAAATTGATTCTTTTAGAATAGACATTATTATTAGTTACAATTATTCTTATAAACTTTGTAACTAGTTTTTTTTTCAACAAAGAGTTTTAACACTTTATGCCCCTGGAATCTTACAACATTACAAAAAATTTCAATTTCTCAGTCTCATAATCTTTGTTGGTTGTGCATTAGCACTGAAGGCGTAATGAGTACGTTTCCTCAAGCACAGAATTAAAGAATCATAAGTCAAAAATTTAACTACGAAATCTTTATTTAATAAAATAGGATAATTTGCTTAACTTAAGCATAACAAAAAGTAATAATCTTCACAGGACATTAAAATTGAAGTATTCAAAAGAATAACTTACATAGAATCATCATCAGTCCTAAATATCATCAGGCTTACCTATATTATGCAATAAGAAAAATAAACAGGAATATACTTTGCCATCGTACCTGAAAGAGAAGAAAGTACTATTGGATTAGGCCTTTGGCCAGGTACAAGTAGCTAGGGTGAAAATCAAATATACTGCATTGCACCCGAGCTTTACTTTCTCTCGCCAATATATACCTTAGCGCACGTTCGTTTCGTATGCCTTTCGAGTTTCATTATGCAAATACCTAAATTTATGCTAACAAATACGTCTTCTCCTCATTTGCATTTGACCGCGTTTCTGAAAATACGTTCTGGCCGGAAGTTGTAAGCTTAAATTCAGAGAGGACGGTAAAATAACTTTTAACTAAAATTAACTGTTAGATAAATTAAGATAAACCTTACAACTGTTTGAAGAAATAGAATTCCAGATCTTGCTTTTTCCCTTCAACATATCTTTTTGCTTATGTAGTTTACACACTTTTATAAAAATTCTGTTTGGAACTCATAATTTTATTCGGTGTAATAATTTTTATCATGAATTCTAGCAAAAGGTGTAATGATCTGAATCTAAGGGATAAACTCAACTTGTTAAACCTCTGTGACCAAAGTCCAAAAATTAATCAACGGAATACTTCTGTTACGTTAAATATTTCTCAACCCCTCTTATGCAGGATTCTGAAGAATCTTGATATCACTATTTGTATATAAAATCAAAATCGGAATGAAAAAATGAAACGAATGTACAGGAGAAAGATCGCGGTGTTGAGAAGTCGAAGATGTATTAACGCGGCAGAAAGTTGAAGAATTAGCTGCAAAAAATGGGAAAGATGTTTTCGTAAAAATAGATAGGTTTATCCGATGGAAAATAAGCGCAAGCAATATTTACAAACGCATTTATTATGTGTGTGTGTGTGTGGGGGGGAAGACGCTGATTTAATATCTGCTCTAGGAGTATGGTTATCAAATGGATGGCCTAAATTGTTTATGAAGTATTGTCCTGAAATCAATTATAATGCTTGAGAAGCAGGTCTATATTATTGTGCATTGCTTCGGTAGACATATTTATTTAAAACTGAAAGTTGAAAACCATGTAAAATATTGAAAGATTATGTGACTGTTTTATGCTGCGTCAGCATGTGCAATAAAAAAAGAAACTCTTAGTAATCCTTGAAAAAATAGACGCTTTAAAGGAGAGTAAAGCGTTTACCACTGCGCTGTAATTCAAAGGCATAGATGACGTCAGTAACATTTTATGAATGTTATCGCCGAGTTAGGTGCTTTTGCCGATATATTGCCAAATTTAGCGATCAACATTTGTCGCCAAAACCATCGCTAGCTTTTCGATATTTCTCCAATTTAGCGAGATAGCCATTTATTGGATGTTAAATAGACTTGCCCTCTGTGATCTTATTTTACAGCAGAGTACCGTCACTTTCAAGCATTTCATGTTACATTATAAAAAATATACTACAATTTCACATATGATTTCACTAAAATTATTTACATATATACAAAATCCGTAAAAATATTGAATTTACATACTTGTCAGTAAATATTATAGCCATGATTCAGCCATGTGATAAAGGGATTTTTAGAGCGATGAAGAAACATTCTCGCCATGAAATGAGTGTTAAGATTCCTTTATAATACAGATGATACAAATATATGTGCAAGGAAAACTACCTTTTTGATATATTGCATTTGCTGAATATGTCTTGGAACTGCGTCACAGAAAAGACAGCAAAGAGTTGTTTTAAGCATGTCACCTTTTAATAAATAATGAAATAGCTGAGGTTTAAGTACTAAAAACAACGTCTCCAATTATCATGAACGTTGGGGAATTTAACGCCTTGATGGATATTGATGAAGAATTTCAAGGGAAAAAACACTATATCAGTGATAAAACATGATGTTTTCAGTCTATTTTTGAAAGAAATCCAAGAACATGGCAGGATATAACTTTCTAAAGAATATGATGATGAGGTCGATGAATTTTAACCAAGTAGTGACATGAGAGATGCCCTACGAGTTATTAACATTAGGGGTACAGAATCGAGGAATATTGAGAAAGATTATGTATATGAACAGTTTATAAATTAACTTCTGCGTAACGACTGTAAACAGTCACCTATTAATAACATTTTTCCTAGTTAAAAATGCTGTAAAAGTAAGTATTTATACGTTTCCTTTTATATTTACTAGATCGCCCAAAAGTCCGTTAAAATTTGAAAATTCAGTAATTCACTGAATAATGTAGCTGGAGAGATAAAAACTGACACACATGCTTGAAGTTTCATGGGGTTTTACTTGGACAAAAAGTGCTTAAAACGGCCACTAGATGGCCCTAAATATAATAACAAAAGCAATAATCAGCATAACATCTGATTTTTAGCAAAGATTATGTTCTTTACAACAAATGTTCGACATGTCGGTCGTCATTCATCAACAATACCTGTAGTCGAGGGACAATACTGTAAACATCACTGTACAGCATATCTGTAGGTACGGTGAGAAATTGCCTTCGGATGTTGTCTTTTAGCATCTTTAACGAGGTTGGATGATCACGGTAGACTTACAAATTCAGGTGAGCCAACAACCAATAATCTCACGGATTGAGATTTGGAGACCTGAGAGGCCAAGCATGACTGACATGGCGGCTCAGCACGAGAACCTTAATACAGCATCTGTGCAAGAAAACTTTCACACGTGTAGCAAAATGGCGGGGAACGCCATCCTGCATAAAAGTCATACTTTCCAATAGGTATTTATCAGCCAGACTGGAGATGATGCGATTTTGTAACATATCAGAGTACCTCGCACTTGCCATACTGACAGTTTGAATAGCAGAATCACTCATTTTCTCAAAGGAAAAGAGTTCGATCATGGTTGATGTGATGAATCTACATCACGCTATGACCAACACCCGGAGGCGAGGATAGAAAAGAGACAAAGTTATGAAGGGATTGATTCCCTTTTTCACTGCAGCTCATTTCATACACGATTCTCATGCGGCGTCATTGACATTTTGCTGCTCAATCCCTATATTATTATCAACCCTTATATTATTTCGTAAATTATTTAATTTTGAAATGTTAACGAACGCACAAACATAATCTTATAACACTAGCAAAGGTTTTACAAAGATAACGAAATATAGCAAAGTTTTCAAAATAAAAAAAAAAATCTTACATTCGAAGAGTATTTATTGGCACCAGTGTGTAACATCTCATAGACTCATGAGAACTGCGTAAGTGTAGGGTACTTTTCCCCGATCTGCCCATTTGATGCACCCGTCCTTTCCGAGCACTTGGTCTAGTTCTTCGTGCACTTTTTTCTGTATCTCTGGAAATTGTGCCATTGCCATCAGCAGGTATATAAGACTGGTCCTTGATGTCTCGGTACCTCCGATTAGAAGGATTTGAGTGTTGCCACGCAGATGGGATTCTATGAAATTTTCACATTAGGTTAATAAGAAAAAAAAAATTGAGTACGTTTCGATTAACGGACTACCAGACAAAAATCATGCCCCAAACATAACCTGTTTATTTCATCTCATACGTAGTTACGCAATTGTAAATAAGGATTGACATCATTGTGAATAAGCAGGAAGGAAGTACTTGGATCCAGTAATGTATTACAATTTATAATTTATAGTATTGACCATTGTTTGGATGTACACTGTGAAAAACAAAAGTCTCAGATTTTAATTTACGTCCAAATGGGCGTTTTTTTAACATTTTGTGTGCTACATTTATTTATTAAATATTACGTTCTTCGCACTTGAACTATAAAATTCAGCTTAACAGCAATATCGGAAAATAGTTTTAAAATGAGCCTCTCTTTAGAATTTCCGATAAAATTTTTTTTTCTGTACAACGTTGCCATGGCTCGCTTTGAAATTGTTGAGTTTGTTAAACAAAAATTCGTTGAAGTTTTACAAAATATGAAATCGATAATGAAACAAATTCGAAATTTCAAATTTGGGATTCCACATGCGCATATTCGTGGGAGGATTACGTCATTCAAAATTCGATGGCTCTATGTACCGTTGTTTTATTACAATGCGAGAAATATGCATACATTTATGCAGATTTTTCATTATTTAATTTTTTCAAATATAATGTAGGACTCTTAACATTTGGTGGCAACAATTTGAAAAAAATTGAAACGGACATTTATAGTAAACCAAGGCAAAATTGCAAAACGAAAACAAACAGTAGTACTTCAGGGACAAAGCCCCCTTCGGACCTAAAAAAAAAAAAAAAAAAAAAAAAAAAGTGGGGGGTGGGGGGTGGATAGTTTGCGTTTTCCATGTCTCGAAAGCGCGACTTAGAATATGTATTAGATTTATATGTAGACTACAGATACATATATTTTGACACAAAATCAGACTTTTTCCGAAATAACACACTAATTTTCTTCCATATTTCGATTCTACGACTCATATTATGCCTAGATATTAAACAGTCATAACACAGTTGAAATATAACAATACCGACGTACACTTATTGTCTTCAAACGCGAATGCACGACCATTTGGGGCTAATGTCACTAAATATAAACGTCCGGGATCAATGTAACGAGGAATGGAAATGTTCATTGTGGAACTGTACGAACATACTATGTAGCAGTGCTTTAAATCTCAAACTGCATGCGGAGCGAATGCGGCTAAAAGTAGCTCAAGGTTCAGATCTTCCTCCCCTCAAAAAAGAAAACTTTTTTTTCTTATTAAGCAACACGAAACATTTTAATTAAATTTTCAGGTTGACGTCGCATCTCAAGAAATTTTGTATAGTTACACTTTATAATTCAAACGTATTGAGAGCTAAATATTAAATTTCCATTTATTAAAAATAATTCTAATATGTTGAATAAACTACTAAATAACTTAATTTTGAATATAAACTGAAAATGAATAATTTAAGAAATCTGACGAAAGCCTCCCAAGTGCTACAAAACTTAAGAATAAATATTCAGCTTATTCTTTTTAGTACTTAACTTATTAACGCAACTACTGTGACGCAATCTGGCGATTTTTGATAGATGAAAATTTAAAAGTTACTTATCGGATGCAAGTTGATTGTTTTCGCTACTTTGTTTTTTAAGGTTCTTAAACTATTGACATTTAACGTAAATCGGCAAAGATTATCAACCACATGAAAAGAAAACATGTTTCAACAATTATTGCGCAATTCTTTTCCTCCAGTACACAGCGATCTTATTTCGCTTTTAAAAAAATTAAAGAATTCGAGAGATTCGGCATCTCACAAACCACCTCAACAGCTTTTACCTACTAAAATATATTCACAAGTTGAAAGGAGGCGCATGTGGCCTGAAGGCTGCCGTTACCACTTCTGTACAGTATAAAAACTGCATTTTCATTTTTGATTCGTCTTTTTGAAAATTAAGTTAAAATGTCAGAATCACGTAATATCATGGGCACTAGAGACAGCATTCTCTAGTGAAGGCCTCAGCAATCTATGACCCGCGGGTCACTAAGTGACCCATTTCATAATTTCTAGTGACCCACCTAAATTCCAAAAATGAAGTATATGTAAAAATAACAAAACAAATATGAAACGAACACTTGAAGAATGCATAAAATAATAAGCCGAAAAAAAAAATAAAATCTGAAAGCTTTCAGATTTTACATTACGTCCAAAGGGACGTTTTTTTAAAACTTTGTGTGCAGCCTTTATTTTTCAATTCAACAGCAATATCGCAAAATAATTTTAAAGGAGGATACCTTTAGAATTTCCGATACACAGTCTCACGGGCTGGAGACAAAAATTTTTGCCCCCCTCCTCCTGTACAGTCTTGCCATTGCTCGTTTTTAAATCCTTGAGTTTGTTAATCAAAAATTCGTTAAAGCTTTACGAAGTATGAAATCGATAATAAAACAAATTTCAAATTCCAAATTAAAGCTTTCAGATGTCCATTTTCGGGTGGAAACATACGTTATTCAAAATTGGATGGCTGTAGGTACCGTTGTTTTATCACAATGAGAAACATATATACATTTATGCAGATTTTTCATTAATTAATTTTTTGAAATATAATACAGGGCTCTAATATTTGGCGGCAACAATTTGAAAAGTGAACGGCCGTTTATAGTGAACCATCGCAAAATGCGAAAACGAAATTAATAGCCCCTTGGGATAATAATGATATTTTTGTTTGATTACAGAGTTGTAGTAACGAACATGTAGAACCATAATTTGAAGGAGAAATCAAAAAGTTTGGCAACGACGATCTATAATGCATAATTCTAAAAAATTCCCTTCATTTTATTCGCATTCGATTCAACTTATAAATGCGAGAAAATATTTTCACACATGAAACTTATTTTAAGCAAGAAGAAGAGCAGATTAAGTACTGAAAGTTCAGATGGTTGTATTCGTCTTAAGAACTATAAGCCAAACTAACTATAGACTAACTATAAGCGAGACTTGACTAAATTGACGTCACAGGTTCGGCATCAGGGAAGCCACTGATACCGTACAGAAAAATAAAGTTCATTTACTTATGTTTGTTTTTATGATAATTATAATTATAATTTTTATGCTGAAAGTTTAAAACATATCGTAATTATTTTCTCAATAAAATTTATTCTTTATTTATTATAAAAGACTGTTTTAAACTAAAAGTACCAGTGACTCGAAACGTCTTCTTAATAAACACATTTTGGTTGAATTTGACCCGCAGCCAAAAGAGGTTGCCTACGTCTTTTCTAGAGTATGGTATACTACTGTACATTATTTTATTTAGTAGGTTGCGTACAGAATACTTCATTATTATATTATTTAATTTTGATAATGTCCTATTTCAACAATCAATTAAATTTAGACGTACGTAAAATAAGTTTCGCAGTACTATTTTAGAAAGAGCTGGAAGGTACTAAACGAGGATAATTAGCTTAAAACACCTAAGTTTACTAGCACAGAATGTTTCTTATTGAATGTAAAATGAACTTTATAAACTGATACCTGTTTTAAATTAGACCTTTCCGCATTCAATCATACCCTTCATGAAATTCATAAATTAGCTATATTTTTCAAACATTAATGTGGTCACTAGTGCGGTTTTATCGTTGAATACTAGTAGTTTAGCCCGGGTTAAAATTTCAGCAAACGGGCTTGCTGCATGGGCATTTTAGTCCTTTTCCACGTGCATAAGATGGAAATGAAATGAGACAGTTTTACCTTAAAACATTCTGCATGAATGTATCTCTCACCTAAGGCAGATAGCCCTCTCGTGCTTTACCACAATCAAATAAACCAATGAACATGATAGGTTATAGATATTTATAAATTAAGAGCACGGTTAACGTACCTGTGAAGCTGGTTTTCATTTTGTTTTTCATATTCAGTTTAATTTCATTGTAGTATTTGTCGATGTAGTTGTCTTCGCTTTCTTTCTCGCTCCTGTTCCTAATCGTTTTATTATAAAATGCAAAGTATAACAATTACAAAAATATTGAAAGATGGTAAAAGCTGAAATCAAATAAAAGCAAAACTCTCAAGCTCTCAAAACACTGGCCTCTCTGAGATCAGATTTAGGCCGGTTAAACAAATATTCAGTTTATATGAAAAAGACAATCAAAATAGCATATATTATAAATTTCGAATTAGAGTAAAAAGATTTGTGTCAAAGCATGGGGATACGACACGAACTGTTAAGGTTTCTGGGCAATGACTTTACGGGACCATATGTGGCCTTATTTTTTTATTGCTATGCATTGCAAAAAGCAGAATGGTAGCTCGATTTTGTCAGTCGTGTGTAGTGTCTGTGAGAATGACGAGTAAGCAGGAAGTGTCTCGATGCGCAGGATAAAGGATAGATATGCGGAAAGTCGGCGATGCATCAGTGTGTAAAATCTAAGGACGAGATACGTTGGCACATGAAACATTATGGAAAGAGTTTGAACTTGATTCAATACCTGCCATAATATTGTTCAGAGATGTTAACAACACTGGTCAGGAAAGGAATTCAAAGGATGCAAATAACCTTTACTGAAAAGTGGGTTCACAGCACAGGATGGAAGACAGAAACATCTATGTAAATTGGCGAGAATGGGGTGGAGGGCACCAGTTTTATAAATACGGCCAACCTGTGTATAATCTTCTGACCAAGTTTAAATGCCCCATCAGGCGTCCAGTAGTGTCTTGCACTCTCATTCGCCGTCTGTCATCGATATTCTCATTTATAGGAGAAGACGCTGGTCCTCTATCAGCATGTTTTCTTGTGAATAATCACTATTTGATCTTCGAATATTTCTATCTGAAATGAATTTTCCTGCCTTGCAAAACACTGTCCAGACCCATAATATGATGCTGTGAGCCATTCTGAAGCCTCGGACCGTCTAGTCACATTTCAACCTCGGATAAAATCATCCATTCTACTTGACTGCTGTTGTTGTCTTGTCCATTTACATGGAACAATGGTTACCAAAGCCCCCTTCGAAGAGAGGTTGAACTACTATATTCCATGCCCAATTTTGAGGAAGAGCACTCCGGGGAGGACCCGGGGGTCTTCTAACCTCCTTCTCTTCCACCAATCCCATGAGATCATTTTCGGATCGCCGCATATTTAGAGTGCCGCTATGACTCGCCAAAACTATACACTTACAAACATCCATGTCTTCTCTGGGATACGAACCCGGGCCCTTTGGTACCGTAATAAGTTCCCCTAACCACTATACTATCTGGGCGACACTTAACTGTCTATTGAATACAAATGAGAGGCTGAGTGAGAGAGACATGACTCGATGTAACACTGAGACAATGACTTGATGTTATTCACACCAATATACGTTGTACAATAATTTCCAACAGAATAGCGAGCGCTTCCTGTTTTATACCTTTCACAAATGCCAGAGTACGTCATACTGCGTGCATCACATATGGCTACAGTTTACTGTACCAAGTCTTGGCTATGTCCTAATTAATCTTTCTGTTTGTTCGTTCCAATGTTATACAGATACCTGTTTTAAATTAGACATTTCCGCATTCAATCATACCCTTCATGAAATTCATAAATTAGCTATATTTTTCAAACATTAATGGGGTCACTAGTGCGGTTTTATCATTGAATACTAGTAGTTTAGCCCGGGTTAAAATTTCAGCAAACGGGCTTGCTGCATGGGCATTTTAGTCCTTTTCCACGTACATAAGATGGAAATGAAATGAGACAGTTTTACCTTAAAACATTCTGCATGAATGTATCTCTCACCTAAGATTTAGAGATTAACTATTGGATAGAAAGCAAAAAGATTTCTGTTTTCTGTACGTTGGCGTCAAAGATTTGAGAATCGATTTTATTGTTTCAAAGATAATTTACTTCAATTGTTTAAGTTTTCTTTCACATGTTTTGAATGTTTAATTTGTTATTTAGCAGAAGGCGTCAAATTTGCATAGCATGGCAAACGGTATTAACCATGCAGTTAACTGTTCTGTACATAAGCAATGTCGGCATTTTCCACTGTGTTTTATTCGTTGTACTTCCCACGTAAATAAAATTTCTGAATAGTTTGCTCATCATAGGAAAATTAATTTTCACATATGTGGTAATAATAAGCACATTGTGGTAAACGATTATTTTTTTCAAATGTAAGCCATCATGCCTTTTTCTCTTTCAGTAAAATGTCAATAAACTACGCCAAGATTACTGCGTTAAAACGTAAATACCTTTAGTTTTAACAACGTCACTATTCGGAAAATGCCGAATAATTAGTTCGGTGAAGCTTAATACCGTAAAACAAATACTCACATTATTAACTGGTTGAATTCAGTTAATTTTTTCACAGGTATGCTGTCTTTGTAAGCTCCAAATTTCCCGAGTAGTTTGATCAACCATGGGAAAAAGGTACCAACTGCAACTTGGGTAAACGATCTCATTGTCAAATCGACGAACTGGCTCACTGCAACTGTAGACGGATGTCCGAGAGGTAGTCGGGTCCCCAACACTAATGTCATAATGTTGTTAGCAAAAGTGGAGGCGAAGAACTCAGACATATCCACGGGTCGTCCAGGCTCTTCCTGCATCAATTTCACCAAATCATTGACTTCTTCCTGTTGGTAACATAGAATGGAAATATTATCGGAAATTATAAAGATACACGATTTATGGTGCACAAAATAAAGAGCTGGCTATTAAAATTGTTACACGTGAAGAACGCTAACAATAAACTTGAGATTTGCACTAAGTGTAGAATATGCTTCCGCAAATACATTTTTCGTAACATTATTATGACAAGAATTTGAAGAAAATGTTTAAGATTTGAATGGTGACGAGTCCAATTTTACATTATTTTCATTACCAAAAACGAACCTGAGTGACGCCCGAGAAAATTTATAAATGGAAATTATTAATTTATACTGTGATATAAATCTTACTTAAAGATTTGAAAATACAAATTTGATTAACCTTTATTCGTACTTGTCAAACATAAATACATTTAATTATGAAATTTTGCAATAAAAATAATGGGTTTGTTGTATATTTATTCCTAAACGGTTTTTCCACAGCTGAAAATTAATAAATCTAAGAAATGAACCAGATTGCCCATGAATATCTTACAATTCATGATGAAGATACTTTATAGTAATTTCTTTCAAGGTTGGTGGGGTGCTGTAGCTGAAAATTGTGGAAAGAAATAAAAATATAAATATATATATTAAATATAAATATTAATAAAAATTTTAAATATAAATATTTTTTTCTGCGTGCGTCACACAAAAATTTAATATACTAAAGAAAAATAATCGGTTGTCGTTATATATTCTCACATTTTGTGCTTATGTATTTTCAAGTTTGGGAAGTTTTCCGAATTTGTTTATTTTTAGTTTAAGTAAGTTACTTACAGCTTACTTCAATATGATAGAAATATAAGAATAAACGTCGGCTGAAAGTTAATATTTAGCAGTCAATACGTTTGAGAAAGTGCATGGAAAACAAAGACAGAAACAATTGAAATATTTGCAGATAAACTTTTAGATTTCAGAGAGAAAATAAGCGTAAATTTAAAATTGTCATTGCGTCATAATTATAACCATTTATCTATGTTTTGAAGAAAAAAAAAAAAAAAAGAAGATACCTAGAGCCAACAAATTTTGAATAACGCAGTCCTCCACCAGAACATGGGCATCTGGAATTCGAAATTTGAATTTACAATTTTTTTGATCTATTTCATATTTTGTAAAAAACTCAATAATTTCAAAGAGTATTCATTTAAGTATTTATTAAAAATTGTATTGTATTCATTCAAGTATTAATTAAAAACACAACAATTTCAAAGCGAGCAGGTGGCAACACTGTAGGAAATAAAATATTTTTGTCTCCAGCGGCTGGAGGCTATCTATCGGAAATTATAAAGAAACACTGCTTTTAAATATTTTTACCCTCAATGACTTTGGAAACGTATATGTGTATATAAATGGAAAACAAAACGTCGCTTGTATTACGCCAGAAGCGATTATCCGCGCCTGCCGCACAAAGTTTTTTTTTTTTTTTTTTTTTTAAACAAGCGTAAAGCAAAGAAAATAAAAATGTTCACGAAACTGAGCGAAAAGTTACATTTGCTAACATCGTGCTTATTTATAGCAAAAATATCCCAGGTGTTCTCGGAACCTTCCCCTCTGATGAGTAAGTGATTTCTTACTCACCGGCCCACCAGCGGCCGAGCGGTAAAGTCGCTGAACACTGGTAGTTCGGTCCGAGGTTCGAATCCCGCGAACGGGCTGGCTGCATGGGCGTTTTCGTGGTTTTCCCCATGTGTAACGTGTATACGAGCCAGTTTCCCTTAGAAAGTCCTCCACGAAGGTATCCCTCCTCCTCCCCTTAGGCAGATAGCCCTCGAGGCTTTGCCGTAATCACACACACACACACACTCTTACTCACCCTTGCAGTGCCCGCTCCACCCCCTCTCTCGTCTTAATCTTACTGACACGTCCACTTCCTCCCATTCGCCATTGTTAGTTTAAGCCTGATAGTGTTTGCGAACCGGTCGGAGTTAATTATTATGTTCAGTGCTTGTGCTTTTTGGTTTTGTCTTTTCGTTACCTATTTAAAATGTCAGGAAAACGAAAGAAGGTTGTGTTGACGATTGCGCAAAAACTAGAATTAAATTCCAAAGTAGCAAACGGCGCTACAAGGCAGCAGATGGAATTGGAATCGCGGAAACAACAATGCTTGAGATTCTAAAGCAAAAAGACAAACTGGTGAACTTTGCATTTAATGTCGGACAGTGCTTCCGCAATGAAAACGAGGAAAAACTATGAATGGTTCTACCTTTGATGAGCTAGACACTGCATTGACAGAGTGGTTAGCTGAAGTTCGAAAAGAGGGTACTCCTGTAAATGGTCCTATCATTGCGGCGAAGGCAAAAACCTTTTTTGAGTTGTTAGGCCTGAAAGGAAATTTTGATGCGTCTTCTGGCTGGTTGACTCATTTGAAGCAGCGACATGGAATTCGAGAAATTGGACTTCATGGGGAGAAACTTAGTGGTGACCAACAAGCAGCCGACGATTTCTACCATGGATTTGAAGAATTTGTTTTAAAAAAGAGCTATCTTTTGAACAAATTTACAATGCCCACGAATAGGAACTTTTGTGGAAATGTCTTCCGACTCTCACTTTAGCATTTGAAAATGAAAGTAAAGCAACGGGTCATAAAAGCAGCAAGGAAAGGATCACTCTCATGTCTTGCAGTAACGCTACCGGTGGACATAAACCTAGACTTGTTGTCATTGGAAAATCAAAAAAAACCGAGATCTTTCAAAGGCACAAGGATAGAAAATTTGCCCGTTGATTATTTATTACTTTAACAAACAAAAAAAAAAAAAAAAAAAAAAAAAAAAAAGTGAAATGTTTCAGATTTTAAATTACGTCCAAAGGGGCGTTTTTTAACATTTTGTGTGTTACCTTTCTTTATTAAATATCATGTTCCTCGCACTTAAACCATAAGATCCAGTGCAACAGCAATATCGCAAAATAGTTTTAAAACGAGCATATCTTTAGAATTTCCGATACAGAGACTCACGCGCTGGAGATAAAAATGTTTTTTTCTGCACAACGTTGCCATTGCTCGCTTTGAAATCCTTGAGTTTGTTAATCAAAAATTCGTCAAAGTTTTAAAAAATAGGAAATCGATCATAAAACAAATTTCAAATTTCAAATTTGGTCTTCCACATGCTCATATTCGTTGGAGGATTACGTTATTCAAAATTCGATGACTCTATGTACCGTTATTTTATGACAATGTGAGAAATATACATACATTTATGCAGATTTTCATTATTTAATTTCTTCAAATATAATGCAGGACTCTAACATTTTATGGCAACAGTTTGAAAAGTGAACCGACATTTATCCGTCCGACGCAAAATGCCAAAACGAAACTAATAGTCCTTCGGGATTCAAATCCCTTTGGACTAAAAAAAAGGATGGATGAACCGAAACATTTTTCAAGTATGGTTCGAAAAAATTTTTCTTCTTCAAGTGCGTAAACTCTAAATCGAAAAACCTGCCTAAAAAGCTGTGTATTGATCGACAACGCACCTTCTCACCCAGCAACAAGCGTGCCTAAAGTCTTCTGATGGACAAATTTTTGCAAAGTTTCCCCCAAACGCTCAAATGTTACTGCGCTAATCCAATCCCATGGACCAAGGAGTTCATTGGCAACAATGAAGAGAACATACCGAACCAAGCTGCTAATGACCAGTAATATTGAGAAGGTTATGATCTGAAAGACTTTTGGAAACACTACACAATCTTGGACAGCATCTACAATATTGCATCTGCATGAGACTCAGTGAAACCGTCAACCCTCATAAAATCATGGAGAAAAACTCGTGTCTAATGTTGAAGCCAGACAACAACCTAAACCCTTTGAGTTGTGAGGAGAGAATGAAGATGTAGACACGCCTACGCCAACTCTTGCTGATGTGGTGAAAACATTTCCGGGTGGTGAGAAGTCGATGCTGAAAACATTAACGAGTGATTGGAGTGTGACGTCAACGAACCTGGCTTCGAACGTTTGACAGATGACGAAAATTGTAAAGAAAGCAAGGGGAGAGACCGAGAATGAAGGAGAACGAAGTGAAGGCGAAGAAAAGCCCACTGTGCCAGATGCGGAAGACTCACGAAGCGGCTTTGCAACAAGTCGACGGACTGCTGAGCTATTTGGGAGAACAAGACGACGCGGAGTTGGCCGAGAAACTTATGTTACGAAAAATGCAATCTCGGATCAAGAGAAAATGCTTCCAAAGCAAGAAGCAAACACAAATGACTGATTTCTTCAAAAAGGTGTAGTTTCACAGTTATGCTTTTTAATTACATAATACATTACAGTATTAAATCAGTACATATACGTATTAATTTTTCTGTGTATCCTTGACGCCTTTCGTAAGTATACAAAGCACTTTTCTGTTTTCATTAACAAAATGCATTTTAGGTTAGTTTTGAGTGATATACTAAAATATTAAGCGTTAGTTAAACATTTCCTGCTGTTTATTTCACGTTTTATTGTACATAAAACGATTTTTCAAAGTTGGAATGACTGTTTTCTCTTTTGCTATACCCATTTGTAGCTTTTTTCGGGTTATCCGCGTTTTTCGTTGTCCGCGGCGGCCGCGCCACCCAATTCTGCGGATCATCGGAGTGTACTGTATATGATCTGAAAGCTTTCAGTTTCTTTAATTTTTTAAATTCTGGTTGTTAACTGCTTTTAGATCCTGCATTCGGCCCGCAAACAATTTCTGTTCGAGACCAAATCAGTAGATCATAAAAGTGGGTGTGTTATGCACAACCAAGTACGTACGCATAATGGCGCGAAATGGTCTGCCAACGGAACGGATTGTCAACAAAGCCATGTTTATTTCGATTCCTTTGACGCTACAGCATTTGCATCAGCGCCTAAAATGCTGCGTTTAGTTTAGCAACATAAATGGATGCATCACTGGTAATAATTGTATTTCCTTTTTAAAGAATATCGCTTTTGCGCGTGTGTGTGTGTGTGTGAGATTATGGCAAAGCCTCGAGGGCTATCTGCCTAAGGGAAGGAATGCCTTCGTGGAGGACTTTCTAAGGGAAACTCGCTCGTATACACGTTACACATGGAGAAAACCACGAAAAACGCCCATGCAGCCAGCCCGTTCGCGGGATTCGAACCTCGGACCGAACTACCAGTGTTCAGTGATTTTATCGCTCGGCCGCTGATGGGCCTATATCGCTTTTGCAAACATGTTTATTGCATTAAGATGGCCGTATCTGTGCGTGGAGGCAATAAGGGAACGGATATTGGAAGCTTGCATTCTTCATCGCAATACACTTTATCGTCAATTAGGGCAAATGTGTGATAAATTAATAAAGTGCATACGGTTTTTTTTATCCCAATAGCTTAAGCTTATCCAATAGAATAATTTAGTAATCAACGTCATCTTTAATCATTTAATCAAGTGCGCACGTTTCGGTAATAGCCTAGCTTATGTGATGGATTAATTTAGAAATTAGAATTATTTAATGAAGTGATTATTTAATGGGGTTATGTTTCGCAACTGTTTAGCTTTTCCGAAAAAATGATATTATTACGAAGTTTGTATATATGTAAATAGTTTGAATGAAAGTGCATGAAAAATTGTAGTATCTTTTGCATAACGTTGTATAGAAATCTAAAGAAGCGAAGCATTGGCAGAAAAGTAAGAATACAGGGTAAGTGTATTTAACGTTGAGTAAATGAATATCTCATCAATTTAGCGAGATATCGCCAAGCAAGCAATAGTTTTGGCGACTAATTTTTGTAGCCAAATTTATCACAAAATAGTCAAAATTCGCCAAACTTGGCGAAAATTTGGCGACATTTTAATCCGGTCCCTGTATGAGCGTAATTGAATAACTGTAATTGATGCTATATATAGCTGTAACCGCATCCGACACCTCATATGCCTGCTAGCAGTTTCGAGGAATACTAGAAATATCTCTGTGGCTGGGGGAAAAATAAATAAGATTGGGGGAGAGCATCAGTTTCAAAGAAGTAGTTTAGTTAAGCGTTTAGTTCGAAGTACTGAGGTATCCCCGCCCTTTAGATGCGCTTTGCATTGCTATTTTGGGTTCTTTGTAGTTTGAAGTGTAACTAGTGATTGCATTCTGTGATACTGTGAAGAGCTGTATGAGTATTTTTGCGGACAGTTCCATAACTGTGAAGTGTTTCTTTTGTGAAATAAATTTTTTCAAGCTATCATAGGTACCGTGTGCATTCAGCCTATTATGAACCCGTACGCACGCAACAATATTGCTACGAAATGTCCTGCGGTAAGATAGCTTCCCCGCAAAGCAGGTTTAGGTTTGCCAGAAAATTGAAATGAAAGGCAGGGTTGCCAATTTTGGCGTGAAATCGCCCATTTGGAGACAAACTTGGCGATATGCCATAGACAGAGTGAGAACATTCCAGAACGAATTATTACCGATTTGCCCCAGAATGTCCTCAAAATCAGGTCAAAAGCTATATAAACCCTGCCTGTACGCGTAGTAAGAGCATTGTGGGTTTTATTGTGAAGAGTATCTTGACTGTGCTGAACTCCGAGAGCGGTTGGCCGAGTCCAGAGCTGTATTTAGTGTTTTGCCGTGAAGCTGTCTTCACCGTTATAGCCTGATATTCCGAAGTCTGTGTTGCTGATTGTTTCAGCGTGTTTATCGTAGTTTTTCGACGATTGTAAACGTGTTTCTGGAACTCTCCTGCGAAATACTGGCAAATAAGTTGTGTTTTGATTCTTCGTCAAGTGTATCGTCAATCACTCGAATTCCACGAATCCTCAGAACGCAGCAATATGTGTGTAAAGAACAATCAGACTGCATCAGAGGGATCCAAATGGCCTGGCACGGGAAAACACTGAGAAATGTTTAAACTTAGAATAGAAAGTTTGAAATAGAAAATAAAATAAAAAAAATATATAGCCCACGGAAGCTTAGTTGTAGGATGTCTTCGCAGTTCTACATTGTTTTGGAAATAATCATTTTTTCATACCTGTACTAATTCTTCCCATCTTGTCCTTCCAAGTCCAATATCTTTCATAGCTTTCATGGTCGCTCTTCTTTGTTCTAACCATACTGGACCGTTTTTACTTGCAAAACCTGAGGGAAAAATGAAATTAGACATAATAGAAGCATGAGAAATTGGATGCTTCAAATGACATTGTTGTGTAACAGATCTACCTCATATTTCCCAATAACACACATCCATGTACAAGGCGAGAGAGAAGATTTTGCTGCAAGATTTCAGACAAAGCTGAAAACGAGTATTGTGAGTGAATTTGAGACTGCCTTTTAAATCCGCCTATATATCGCTTAAAGTCCGAATATGTGATCATCGAATTTAGTCACATCCTCTGGACGAGTTGAAACTGAGTTTTAAATACTCAACAATTTGAAAAATGAGCAAGAAACATGCTATCGATCGTTGAAAAAATGTGGCATCACCAATGTTATGAATGAAACCGAAGACTATATGACCTAAAAAGCGGAAGACTATGTGGGAACCATTAAGATCCATTGCTTTAGGTTTGAGAGCAACAGGGAGAAACTTCTGAGAATTGACAGAAAATTAGGTGTCAGCTACTGATATTGAGAAATTAAATTAATACATTAAATAAACTTATGTTTTCCGCATTAATTTTAATTATTAATATTTTTTAATTATTTAGTTTGTGATTGAAATATTTATAAATGATTTTGAACTACTAACTGAACGTATGCAACCTTATTATGCAGCAGTTTTGTGTTCTATAAGATTGCTAAACTTCAAAGATTATTCAGCTTACACAAGGAGAATATATGGTAAATCATATACAGCATAACTGAAATTCTTTTAAACCGAAATTGCCTTTTAAAAACTTCTCTAAAATTTTTATAATAAATTTTTCTTTTATTAAAAACGAGAGAGAGGAAGTACTATTAATTAAAGCAAATATTTTCAATTACAAATGCAGTACAATATCTAATTACCATAGCATGTCTTTACACGTAACACACACACACAAAAAAAAAGGAACCATAATTATGAGGCGAGGGAAGGATATCATTACTGTTATAGACAAGGATGACAACTACTATTTACTAAGTTGTCATATAACTCGGAAACGTAATAATTACTTACTGATTTCCTTATATTCTCTAAATCAGAAAGACGAGTTAGAGAATATAAGCAATTATTGCACTTTCCTATCTGTGCTGTCATGGTGTAAGTAGTTAACAAATCTTACTAGCAACTAGAAGATTTCTGGTCCGACAACTGGCTAAGGGGAACATATTGATAAATTTTATGAAAAAGAGAGGGAAAAGCAAATATTCGTTTTCTTCAACTATAAGGAATTTCCTTCTTCCTTCCAGCATACCTTTGGGGTGTAACGGTAGCAGACTCGACGCCTATTCGAGAAGTCCGGAGAGGGCGTTGTTCATTTTTCATTGACTCCTGCTTCAAAAATAACCTAGTGACTCTACAGTGGCTCTCGAACTACAATGTGGCGGACGATAATTTGTCACCACCAGGGTTTTGCAATTGGGATCTCTAATCCCCAGTCGCCCTTTAAAAGGAGGAGTATATGAGGTATTTTATCTCTCCTTCCAGCATGCTTTCACGGTGTAACGGTAGCACATGCGGCGAGTATTCGAGAGGCCCATGTTCGAGTCTCGGTGAGGGCATTGCTCAGTTTTCGCGTCTCCTGCCTCAGAAAGAAACCTAATGCTCTACGTAAACCTTTTCCTATCTGTAACCAGATTCCTTCAGAAAGTTCTTCAAAAAAGCTTGGATAAATAAGTTTAATATTTAACACTATTCATCTCATTTTCATACACACAGTTATAGAAGAATGTACTGCTTTAACAATAGGGACTGCCTATTTCGATTGTATCATATTTAAAATGGACTCCCTTTATTATTAATTTTTTTTCAAATTCATTTAAGGTATCCTTTTGTTGTATTCTAGACTTAAAATGACACCCATATCGGCATGGTGGCTCGCGGCGTCGGTTGTGATATGGTTGACTCCAGGCGCCAATTTCAGAAAAGGTATGGGTATTCGTGACTCTTGCAGTATCTTAGCTGCAAGAGGCTTTTAAAGTACCATCGAGCCCAAAGTCTTCTACAAAAATTGATGGTAAGAGAAAAAAACAAATCCGTTCCATGTAATGTTCTTTTTTGAAACAAAGACAAAATTGGGCAAGTCGTATTGTCACTACTAAGGTGCTTAAAGCTTTCCTAAAACGAAACTCGTAAATTTGGTCTCAAATCTTACAGAAGATTAAGAGGATTAGAAATAACAAAGAATTTAAAACGTGACATCTCAAAACGTACGTCTCAAAATACATATTCTTCTGTATAGCAGAAATAATTTTATATGCATTAACTAAAGTAGAATAGGCTATTAGCTTATGTTTCATGAATTGCACCAGATTGTTAAGATTGCTGGAATAAATGTATTAATCCCATGAATGACAAATTTCGATGTTTAATGACAGTTGGACAGATTTTATCAAATAAATAAATTTAATTAAAAATATCTAAGACTGTATAACTATCACAGCATCCCGGGATGTTCCGGCACCCAAAATGGCCGAGTGGTTAAGGCCACTGATTGCTGGCAACTCAAACCGGGTTTGAAGTCAAGCGAACGGACTGGATGCATGGTTGATTTTTCCCATGCCTAACCGGAAAACGAGCCGGTTTCCTTTTGAAAGTACTCCCCGAAAATATACATATTCTTGGACAGATATAGACCTTGTGTGCTTTACCATATTAAAAATATCTTGACATAGACTAGCTCCCCCCGGGAATTGCGTATATTGGCTTAGTATTTTACTTTGACAGCAGTGGCTATGGGGGCACAATAAATAACAAGAACGCAGTTCCTACAGCCCAAAAGAGCCGCATGTGCTGTCCCGGACAGTCGTGGCTTAGGCCATTCGAGTGTGCTAGAGCGAATACCAGACGCACAGTGTTTTTCTTTTTTCTAACATATGCCTCATGTTCTTTGACGCGAAATTTTAAGGCTCTCTTAGTTTGGCCAATGTAAATTAAACCGCACTGGCAAGGAATCCTATAAAACCCAGGAATCATATCCGGAATGGGGTCCTTGAGTATAGAAGTTGGAATTTTATTGATGGGAGAAACAACCCGAAAGTTAAATTCTGCAAAATATGTGCAACTTTATAGCTAATTGATGGAAAAGGGAATGACAACAGAATTTTTATAATCTCCTAAAATAAGAGTGTGGCTTTTAGTGTGTGAGATGAGAATTTTTTAACTGCTTGATTAATAATGTTGGGTGAAAAGCCCCTGTCAATAGCTATTGCTTTTAAATATTATTCTTCATCAAGGGCTAGTTGGAGGAGCAAACTTGAAGAGCACGGAAAACATAGGAATAAAATGAAGCTAACTTTTGTTTAGTCGGATGACATGATTGATGTTACGTGTGACCAGAATGTCGAGAAACGGAAGAGAATGGCATGGTTCCGCTACTAGACGATACTCTTACCCTGTTTGAAGGTAATAAGATGATTTAAATAGAGTTCTTCACAATGAATTCTATGATCCGCTATTCAGTTCACTTTTGAACTTGAGACTTGCAATTCTCTTCCGTTTCTCGACATTCTGTCACACGTACACATCCAACTTCAGTATTACAGTTTACCGTAACCTTCATCGGTTTGCCTTCCACCACACTTTAAATCATGTCATCCGACTAAACAAAAGTTAGCTTCATTTTATTCCTATGTTTTCCGGTGCTTTCAAGTTTGCTCCTCCAAACTAGCCCTTGATGAAGAACTAAATTATTAAAAGCAATAGCTATGACAGGGCTTTTCACCCAACATTATTAATCAAGCAGTTAAAAAATTCTCATCTCAACACACTAAAAGCCACACTCTTATTTTAGGAGATTATAAAATTCTGTTGTCATTCCCTTCTTTCCATCAATTAGCTATAAAGTTGCACATATTTTGCAGAAATTTAACTTTCGGGTTGTTACTCTCCCATCAATAAATTCCAACTTCTATACTCAAGGACCCCATTCCGGATATGAATTCCTGGGGTATTTATATGATTCCTTGCCAGTGCGGTTTAATTTACATTGGCCAAACTAAGAGAGCCTTAAAATTTCGCGTCAAAGAACATGAGGCATATGTTAGAAAAAAGGAAACACAGAAGTCTTCTGTTGCTCAACATTGTTGGTCCGAAAATCACACTTTCAATTTTTCTGCTGCCAAAATTATTCAAAAAACATCTTCCATTGGAGAACTGGATTTTCTAGAGGCATTTCACATTCATAAAAATCTTTCTGTTCTAGTTAACGATCCTAATTCCAATCCAAATTTGCCTTCGGCTTTTAGAGAAATTATGTTTTAGTTCTGGTTTCGCCAACAGATGGCGCCACTTGCTTATTCTTGTCCAGGCTTTCTTATCTTATCTAAACTTATTTCCTATCTTGTTCATTTGCGGTTTTGCAGCTGAAGATGATGGTTCGGTAAAACCATCGAAACTAGTCCTGTGAAAATTTTGTAAATTAACGCTGATTTTTGTTGTTTGACTTCTGAATTAGTATTTGTTCGGCGTGTTATTGTGTCTTAATTATAGAAGCCCCAAACAGGCTTACATTTTGCTTTCTTTTTTGCACGTGGTGTGGCCGCCATTTTGTGATTGTAGGAGTTTCGGTGAGTACATTTTTGCAAATTTCAAGTTATGTTTATGTTTTGTACATTTGGATATTGTGCTTTGCTTGTCTGATTTCATGCATTTTGCTTACAAACATTTTGTTTTCTATTCATTTCAGTGAGGGATTTTTCTGCTATTTTGTGTGTACTTTATATTGCTTAGTTAATTTAGTTTGATTTTCTGCATTGTTTATCATGCCTTCATCCGTTAATCGTTTCACTAAATTGCGCCTGAAACGGCAAAAAATTCCTGAATCATCTTGACTTTTTACTTAAATGTAAATGTAAAAAATTGATCCCCAATTTTATTCAAATCAAATCTAATCAAAAACCTTCGAGTCGCGTTTTCAAGATTTCTGTTAAATTGCAAACTTGCCTTACTTCGGTCCGTGATAAGGGATACACGTCAACAATTGTCCAAAATTGAA